ATCCAGATTCTGTTACTGCGTTATCTCTCTCTCACTTAAAATCATTTCAGGAAAATATTTTAGCCCCTGGAGCCATTAGCGCTTACAGTGCGAAGGCCGCCAGGCCCCTGGGGCATAAAGTGTGATCTGATTATTAGGGCCCCTGCGCCCCTCAGCACTTTTGAGTGAGCAGTTTGAGGGTCCCTGGGACATTCTGCAATTAAAGCATAAGCTGAGCACTAGGGGCAACACATCGAGCATACACCTAGGCCCCATGAGCCCATCGGTCTTACCATTACTGCTTCATTATAGCTAAACTAGAAAAATCCATAAATAAAATAAAATTATCTCTGTTTTAACTCCAAAAGATTTCTACACTTTTGATTTACTTAAAAACTTAGGGCACCAGATTCATTTGAAGGAAAATACATAAACCAAATGAATCTGTCTCATAAGCAGGGATTTCATTATTTTTTATGCCTGAAGCATTTTTCTGAACAGAACACACACAAACATCTTTTTGCTGACAAACGAGGACATTTATTTACTTCTAGCCTACTAATAACCAGTGTTGAGTGTTATTGTAAACACATTACATTTGTCTGTAATGCAGTAATGTAACGCATTACTGTTCCTGAATTCAGTAACCACATTACAGATCCATTAGTTACGCTGTTATTTGCATTATATGATTTCTTCAATTAAAGGCATAATGGGGGGGATGAAAAAAATCAAAAGTGCCTTTTCATTAATGTTTAAAGCGTTCATCAAAGCACGTGTGACAATAATGAGTTTTCTTTTTTACACGACATATCATCTGGACAGCCGTCAGTGAGAAAAACTGTTGCACCTTTACATGTACAAGAAGATCCACAAGACCAAGAGCTAAACGAATAAAAGTCAGTCCATTAGTTGCAAATGAGTTGAGTTTTTAACCTCTTTCCCCCCTCTTTTTTGCCACTGGAGTGCCAGATTTTTTCCCCCTAAATCTGGTTTTGGTTAAAATAAAACAATGAACTTTCTTTCTTTTTAAAGGCAGAGCACCCTGAAATTTAGAGGAAGAAAAGTGCATCTGTTTTGTCTCGTAAACACTGTTTCTATCTGCTTCTGGGAACCGACAGTAAAGGGAAAATGTAACTGAGCTGAATTATTTTGAACAATATTCCTCCAAAATGTGACCTGCCAATGCATCAGGCTTAACTGCTCTGTTTGTTGAAATGATGACGTCACCCACTTGATTCCAGAATACCGAACCACTCTATTCTTTATTTTTTATCATCAGAAATATCTCTGTTACGAAGACTTAGTTCACAAGAATGTATTGTTCAGTTTAGAAAGACACGACTATTGTGCCCGACCCGCTATTGGAGGAAAGTCTATATTACCAAAAACAAGTACTAATGCAATCAAATGGACACATGCATTAATGGAATTTACTCCCCAAACACATCACACAAGGAAACAGTAAAACTCAATTTAAAATTTTAGGTTTATTTTTGAGGTTTACCTTCTAGTCAGTTAGCAGAGTTACATACAAATGTGAGTTGAATTGTGTTGATGTGTCTTGTGGCTGTGAGGGTCCGTCTGAATTTTTGGTCTGGGGATACTGAAGTGAAACTGAAGAGAAACAGAGCTACATTTATACGGTCAAATACTCCATATGGGGACCAGTGTGAAGGATTTGGTGGCATCTAGCAGTGAAGTTGCAAATTGCAATTATCTGAATGCAGCTCAGCCTCCCAAGGCATATAGGAGAAACTAATTTGGCCACAAAACTAGACTAAGCTATCTAGAGCTAGTGTTTTGTTTGTTCATTTTGGCTACTGTAGAAACATGGCAGTTCAACATGGTGGACATAGAAGAGGACCCACTCCGTCTGTAGATAAAAGCGGCTCATTCTAAAGTAACAAAAACACAGACTATTCTTATTTTCAGTTTATTATTATACGAAATATATGAAATATATATATGATAATATACCTATCAATAATATGTCCATTTATGCCAATAGAGCCTCCTCCTGTTACACACTGGACCTTTAAAGGTGTAGTCTCACTGAAATATTCTTCCTATTATTTTGAGTATGGAAGGACTGAAAACATGCCAGAATATTTTACCTCATGTTTTGGTGGTCTATCAGGCAAAGGCTTTACAGGATGCAGGAATTACTTTTTTGTGGTACCACAGTCGGCCACTAGGAATTGGAAGCGAGGCGGATCCTGCCATAGCTTTATATAATATATAAAGATTCTTATTTTCGACAACAATGAATATTATCAATTTCTGACAACAGATCCTCCTGAATGTTACACACTGGAGCTTTAAGTTTTGAGTTTGACTTTCCTTACAAGGGAATCTGGTTCTTTCAGTACAGTGAAGTGATATTATGGTTGGCTGAATGTGATATATTAGTGTTTATTGGTTTTGGAGATTAATAAATACAGTTGTCAGGTGAATACGGAGCTAAAAAGGAAAATGACTGTGTGTGAAACCAAAGTGTTCTCAGTGTGTCACTGTATTTGTTTCCGTAACAGAATCCTTCCTCTGGAAGCACTTATGATGTGTGTGTGTGTCCACCCAAAGAGTCCAGACAGAAAAAGGACTTCAAGTGTGTGTGTATGTGTGAACAGGATGAGTGTGTGTGTTATGCGGAGGCAGATGTGAATGTGTGTGTATTAATCTTGGCAGTATCAGCTGCTTCTGGCTGCTGCTGTCGTCCAGCAGGAAGTCACATTAAACTTGGGGTCGTGCTGGGGTCAGAGGTCACAGTTGAGAAGGAGATGAGAAGAACAGAATGACAGAACAGAAGCAGAGAGAAGTGTTTTGCAACTTGGCCCCATTCTTTTGTCTTTACATTATAAAATATTTACCAAATTCTCTTTTCTTTCTACTGAGTAAATTCCTGATCCATTCAAGCTGGGAGTGATGCATTTCATGTTTCCTGTGTTTAAGAAATGACTAAATGGACCTCATTATATAGGATTATTACAGCAGTGTATTGCTGCCATACTAGAAAAAGGAAAAGAGACCTGTATCTCGTTATAACGTAAAAACTTTATTATTATAAAATGTTTTTTCATGTTATTACGACATACAAACATTATGACAATGTACTATTAATATTGTTAGAATGTTAATGTTTCACATTCGAAGGTTTTGACTTATTGTTATAAAACTAAATGTTTCATGTTAAAATAAACAGTATCTTGTTATAACAAGAAAGTTTAACGTTATAGCAGTATGAGGTATGGCATTAACATCAGTCTGATGCTAAAAATATATATCCATATGGCTGATTACATAACTCAGTTACATGTAATCCTTTCCCCAAGCCTGGATGCACACATATCCAGATAAAGGCTTACATGTCACACACATACATTCCCTGATAAATCGTAGAATATAAAGTGGATGGTCACAAGTGATTTAAAAGGCATTAAGCCTTAGAAATACAGGTCTATAGTAGTTTGACAACAAATTCTAAACTCAAGGTCCACTTACGAAGTTTCTTTCGAAGCTTTCAGACACGTCTCTTGACCCAACAAAAAGTTAGATAAGACACGGCATGGTATATGTGTGTGTGAGACCGGTGGACAATGACTGCGTGTATTCAGCACGAGCAGAAACCATTCCAGACATCCTCACAGTAAGCTACATGCCTTTGTCTTTATATTTTATAGCGTTTTCTATAATAACACATTACAGCAGCAACATGTCATTGACTGTTTTGTTAGTGCCATTCCACCACTGTGTGTTTTTCTCACACCCTATTACCATTTGCCGACTACCTGAATTCCTATGAATGTGACAGTCTGGAGTTTTCTTGGTATTAACATTACTTTAGTCAAAAAAAGAAATGTGAATGCAAGCCAAGAAAATCATGAAATCTATTTCCCCCTTCAGGCAGGGTGGAAATAAAATGACTGAAGACAAATGAGAATATTGCTGTGCATGAACTCCACAGATGTATTTCTTGTGCTAACCCAGAATATGATCATATGACTGACAAAGATATATCTTTTCCTGCTCATGGAAACCATAGTTATTTCCTGCAAGTGACATCTTAAAATAACCAGCTGGAATAAAAAGCAGTCGTGAGGACTCTTCTCACTGAACCCTAACCTCAGTTGGGCAGCTGCAGGGTTTATTACAGACTGAACCTCCCGTTGATACCAATGACATGAGGAAATTAATTGGAAAGGACAGGTCAGATCAATGTTCTGTCAAACTGGATTAGTTGTGAAGCACATATAATCAATGTAACTCTTGGAGAAATGATTAATGTTTGCAGGTATAAATGTACCTCCCAAATTCTGGAAAAATTAGTTTACAAGCTAGAATTTGTATAACCTCACTGTTACTAGTAAAAGTGAGGGAGTTCCCCAGGGCTCAATATAGGGTCCCACATTTTTGTTCATACACACAGACAACTGTTAGGTCACTGTCTTGTCAAGAAAGTTTATTCACCTGCTTATATCAGATAAACAAAGTTTCATGGAAACATAGTTTCATTTTTCATTTAACAAGGGAAACAGTTCCATCATACACTAATTAAGGCACCAGTCAGAACCATAACCCTAACTGCTATAAAACTGCAGAAAGAAAACACACAAATGGCTTCAGATTAGTGGCATTATTATATTCTCAATCTAAAATATGGTATAATCTGTACAAAATAATTATTTTTTAATATTATTTATTTTACAACAATATTCAACAATGACTGAATGTCTGACTACATAAACACAGACCCTTGGACTGGGTGGAGCATTGGTAAGAAGCATATCATTTTGTAAGATGCATCACATCCTTTTTTTATTATTATCATCAAATATTTATCAAATGTCATCATTTCAATAAAAAAAAACAAATTTTTTTTTGTGAGAGCCCCTCGACTTTGTCTACAATAAACTACAGTTGAATACATTATTCCTGACCGCTCAGCCACAGTGTTAATCGTAGTTTCTGAGAGTCAACCCCTCATACAGTCCTGAATAGCAATATTTCACACCCCTTGAATTTAAATTAACATTAACAATAGCCTATTGATGAGGTTTGTGCTAAGCAGTGAATACATAAACAGTTTGAGGCATTGTGGACAATCCTTTATAAATTCAAATGGCCAAACCAAAACACATCTATTTACTGCATTATAAGCAGTAAAATGTATTTAAAAAGAACAACACAAAATATAAAGTGGTGAAGTGCTACAAGTACACGGCAAAAAAGTATTCCTTTCCAGAGTCAACCAGAGTGTTTGTCTCTTTTGCTTCTGCATGCATTGACAGATTTATACATCTGGAGATCAAGGCCACATAATGTGCATTTTAAGTTAGGATCCAACTTGTTAAGCAGCCTGTGGAATGTGCTCAGTTCCTCTATCTCTGCATCCCACAGGACTTCCATATCATTAGCTATCTAAAATATGCCTCAATATTAAGATGTGTTTTGAAAGTATAGAGTAACTCTTTGAAAAGCAGCCTGAGGTTAGCTATCATCCATGCTAACATCTTAGATCTGTTCGTTCTGCACATCTTTAATTATAGACAGTGACGTATGTCTTTGATGTATAAAATGTAGCCTTATATCTTGTTCTTTTTGGAAGGACTTCAGCAAATTGGGGCCAGCCCATTAAACACAGTCTATCCCTGACTTACTGATGACATTACACCATTGGTCAGGCAAGTGTTGGAGTTTCCTCAATAGTCGCATGTTGGTGCCAGGACCTGGAGATGTTCAAATGTCATGGAGCCCATTTCAGGGACAAATCTGTGCTTTAACCATTAACCATTAACATGAATTACTGTCAGCAACAATACAATCATCTTCTGTTCTTTAAGGCATATTACTTTAGTAAGTATTAGTGAAGTGGACGGAGAGAGAGTGAGAGAAAAGAGAGCTGCTTTTACTGGAGTCTACTTTGCTTTGTCACTGGTAGTCAAGGAAGAGGGCTGAAAGGTAACCCAGGCAGCATCTCACACAGCTCTCCTTTCAATCTCTTTTTTCCTGTCTGCAATTTGAATAGAGAGGAAACAGAATTTCAGCGATTGGCACATTGATTGCCTCAGTGTGTTTCATTCTCAGGGCTCTTAATGAGCATTCACAGGTTTTCTATGGCCCCAGTCTCACAGATAATTCACCTAGCTTCACTTGAGCTGTGCCTCTTTTAAAAATTCTGCAGAGAACAGACGGCTTGAGTTGATCACAGGTTTGGGGTGGTGGTGCCCAGTGTGACCTTCAGTAGTCTAGTGATGATGTCGGAGTGCGTGGGGTGAAAGGTCAAACCATCCACCTCCATCGCCAGGTGACCGGTTTTCCCGCTTCTTATCCCAAAACTCATCAGAGTGGAAAGGATGGACTCCTCCTGGAGGAGAGAGAGAGAGAGAGAGAGAGTGTGTTAATGGCAGTTTAAGCTGCAGTCTTTGATTATTTTTGGCCATTTAAAAAGGAACAAATTTAGTCTTTGTGGTGAGTGTGTTAGCTAACAGTGGCCTGTTGCCACATCCAGCAGACAGAGACTTCCATTTTGGACACCTGGCAGATGTCTGCTATCTACTCTCCTTTTAGGTCTCTTTTTGGTCTCCTGAGGAAAATCTGTCTGATTAGCTGCTAAATGCTCCACTATGCCCACCAGCTAGTCCCTAACTTTGTCTGTCTGATGTGTGGTGATGTCTGGCTGAAACACTTTGCAGTCAGGTGATCATTTTCAGAGGGTTTGTCACTTTGGGAGACACTTTTCACATTAAACATTAGATCCAAAAATATAGTTTATTGCAACTGTAAGTTACTAGGAAATGACAACATTATTTATTTAGTCTTTATCCTGTTTTTTGTATGTAAAATATAAAATATTATATAGATGGACCTGAATTTTGTTTAGGCTTGGACATCTGATTATGTAACTTTGTATCAAAAGAAAATGTATGCACTGTGTTTTGAATCAGTTTTTAATTAGTTTGTGGTGTCTGGTGACATTTGTGTGCACTGATATTCTTTAGTAGATCATAGTGAAGATGAATGACAGATTGGTTATGCATCCAGATGATGATCGAAGGATCATATACTTGGTAAGGAACTGGACCGAAGGTGATACTACTAATAAATAATAGATTTTAAATAAATAATATGGATATTTTTTCTGTGTATATTGGACTTATGTATGTAAGGTGGACATATACATATACAATATTTTGAAATGATTGTTTATGTGGGGTGTTTTCAGTGTTATTTAAATGTGTTTTTGTTTTATACATATTTTCAGGCTGAATTATTCAGACCTGAAACTCCTTGTAAATGAAACTGTCAACCCATACTGAAATGTTTTTGATGTAACAAAAAAAAACCAAAAAAAAAACAAACACATAACCCCCAAACCTTAAATATTTCTTTGCTTTCTCACATCCTGTTTTTGAGATGTAGAGAATATTCAGAGAGGTGTGTGTGTTTGTCACCTTGGCTACAGATGGCAGGTTAGCGGTCCACTCCTGTAGCTGTTCAGGACGGGTTGCGTGTTCCAGTCCCAGTCCCTTCTTCAGGTAGCGCTGGTGGGAGGGGCAGGTGTGGAGCAGGTAGAGCCCACAGGCCACAGCATATCCTCCCCAGTTAGACACTCCTGCAGGAGGGAGGGATGGGGGTGAAGGTGGGATTTGAATGAGAAATGATTATGGTCATTAACCAATGAAAATATGTGAATGAGCCCAAAACTGTATTTCTTCACCAGTTTGGGTGGAGTGAAAAGACGCACTCAACAGACAAACTCAGGTCAGATATGGACTTAAATGTTCTCACACTCACATTGCTACTAGTTCCCCTCGCTTGTGAACTGATTATCTAGGAATTTATCAGTGAGACAGGCAGCCGAATATGTTATTTCCTCATTATTTCAATTGTTTGTTTCACTTCCCTGTGTGTACAGATCAAATATTAGCATGTACAGATGGCATAGTTACTCCTCTGAGGAATTTTCTGACCCTTTTTGGTCCTTGACCTTGACAAGGGCTGTCCCTGACTTAACACAGAGAGTGTGTGTGTGTGTGTGTGTTTGATAAACTGTATTCTGTGTGCATTTAGTATGTATCCATACCTGCAGGAGTAATCAACAGTGATGTGTTAAAAGTATTTCTGTGCAGTACGTATGCAGCCATAACAGTATAATGTTTGCTTTGTACAGCTAGTATAATGACCCAGTCCGTACCAGCAGTGATGGCGTAGTCAGCAGGAACATCACATGCTACGAGACTCCCATTGGGCATCAGGGTTTTCACCCTTTCCTTCACTTTACCCATCCCCAACTCATTACCACCATCACCGATTCCTACAGAGAGAGTGAGAGAACATCTGCTGAAGAGTATAGTGAGCAGCAGACATGCTTATTTCATGCATCACATGTGCAGTAGTGTTACAGAGCACAGCACTGTTACAGCTGGTATTAAATGATATTGTCAATACCCTGCACACAAAGCAACCCCAGCTTATTTGTTGATCTGTTAAATGCATTTGCCTGTGTAGACCATGAGCTAGTGCTAAATAGTGCTAAATAAGTGATAAATAAGGGGAGGGTGAAGCGAGGCAGTTGCAAACTGAAACTGCACCTCTAGATAAGACTAAACCCTACACACTGGTCCTTTAAGGAAACAGAGTAGGGAGGATTTCTTTAAAAATGTAATCCAATACATATCACTAATTACATGTTAATCCAAGTATCACAATATAAAAGTAATACAACTTGATTACTCTCTGTTCCTTTTGGATTTCCTCAACAGTAAATATGCAAATAAGGACAAGAGTAAAGAAATATCTATACGATGACTTGATCACTTGAGTGTTTTCTATAAAACAACAGAACATTGTAACCTGAGAGAGTGTATTTAAAAAAAAATAAACTGTAGATCATTTTCACAGCTGAAGGGCAAAACTACTCTGATGTTGTTCCTCTTTCTGCTTTAAAGAAATAAAGGGAAATTAAGAAACACAGTGAAAGCATTTTGTTCACTGGAGGCTGTAAGATTAGCTATAGTTTCACACTGGAGACCAGAGTGGTGTTGTGAAACGTATGTTGTTATGTGGTTGCACTGCACATGTGCTTGGTATTTTATTGTTCTCTATATTTAAATGTTTTTTAAAATTGTAATCCTGTTAATAGTTTTTTTTTTCTAAATGTAACACTAATCTGATTACGTATTTTCTTCTCACAATTCAGTTTATGAGCTGCAGTATTGCAACACATTAGAAAAGATGTGAATAATGCACAGCTCTACTACTTTCACAGGCTGTATAAAATATCCACATGGCTGATTCATTATTGCTTACAATTTTAATCCCTACACTATACTACCTGTAGTAGTAATTCCTCGTATATCCTTGGCAGCAATAAACAAGTCATCAATAGGATCCACCAGATGTTTGATGTTCGCTCCTCTCATGTTGTAGTAGTTTCCATCTCCAGCACGTCCACTGCGCTCTATTGCCACAAGGTGGTCGTACCTGGTGTTACAAGCACATTCCTCTCATGCTCTTGAAGCTGAGAGACACACAACTAGACAGTCTATTAAAGATTTGCAGATTAAATGCTCACTGACAGGCACAACAACCTTACTGTACTGCATACTGCTTGGATTTTAACACAACAATATATAACAATAGTTTACTATAACTTGTTTCTAAAGTGCAAAATCAAAACAATAATAAGGATTTTATAAAGTATTTTCTACATTTATTCTTACCACAGATTTGAGTTGTTGATGTAGACTTACCTGGACTGAAAGTTTAAAAACCAATGTTTGAAATAATGCTGAACTAATTGCACTCATCACTAACTAATATCTATATCAAGGACACAAATTAGAACCAACTCAGACTTATCTAGAAAACCAGTTGTAGTGTAAAATTGTAAAAATAAAATGGCTTTATTGTGTCCTCATCCCAACTGCAAACACATGTGATGGGTCAGCTAACCTGGGCTTGCTGGGGTCTCCATGGTGACACAAGAAGTGTAGTGCAGAGTCTGTGCCGCGGTCTTCAAATGTGACCAATGGGATTGCCGATTTTAGCACACCTGAGAGTGGAGTTACAGAGTTATGAACCCAAGTAGAAGCTTTCTCTTTAAAAATGACACAGATTTAATTTAACAATGAAGGATGAGAACAGGTACGTTTCTTTTAAGCTCACAGATTTGAATGAAAACTCTTTCCCACCTTTCCTCACAGCTTCGTCAATGATGGCTCGGTTCATGTCCAGGGCTCTCCTGTCTGTCACCATTGTCACCTGTTTCCCTAGCGACAGCAGCATGGTTGCCATGGCAATGGCTCCGGGTGGGCCATCAGTCTCGTCAGGAGGGCTAAATGGTAAACACCAATAACAGTCAATATTTTGGGAGTTTTAAAATTTCATGGGACTGGTCCAAACTCAGCTTCCTGTTTTAGCTGATGTTCACAGTTTAGGCTGTGTGTTACCACCTCTGGTTGGGGCAGACTCACAGCTCCCCTATGCTCTATACTAGAGAGCAGAGGTTTTCAAAGTGAGAGGCTAGTTTTCATTGTCATTTGATAACAACAATTGAGCCGTGATAGCCTGATATTGCTGTTTGACATATCTTCAGACTACACAAAATACATGAAAAAGGTCTGTCCAAAGGAATTAAGTATGAGTTTCTGACTCTGGAAAAGTGCGAAGAAAATTCCCTAAAATTATTATTGCTAAACTATTTTTTTAACCAATCACACACATTTAGGCTATTCTGATATGATATGATATGATTTCCTTCTGGTAACTAATGTAATCATCTGAAGCAGTCTGGATCCCCCTGGAGAGTCCTGCCTGCCATCTCTGCTCTATAGGCATAATGCAAACCAGAACCTCAAATCACATACTGAATAATTAACTATGTTTCAGCAGTGTCAGCTGAGCTGCAGACAAGTGTAAGAATATTAGTGTGAAAACAGCTGCATGAGTGTGTAGGTACCTGTGCTGGTAGTGTGTGGGGAAGCCGGTTGTTATGGCAACAGAGGATGCATGGGAAAGTGCCAGACAGGAGCGCAGAAGTTCATCCTGAACAAATAAAGCTCTAATCCCTCGTTCACCTGGTGACAGAAAGTGACAGACACACCATGAAGCAGAGTGTTTAGCAGCTTTACTGCTAATAACAACAGAGGCTCTCTCAGTAGCTACCATCTATCTGTAGCTGGACACCATCAAACTTCATCAGTTCACCTAGATTTTCTGGCTTCTTAATTTACTAGCTAGCAAAGGTTTATAACTTTTATTTTTTATGTTTTAACTCTTATTGTTGTATAAGCTATATATGCTTCTGTTTACACATTTCATATGCATATGTTATAAGGTAAGGCAACAAAAGACTGATTGACAAACAGCAAACACAACACAGAGCTCTACAAGTGGACCAGAGTTAGATCAATCTAAATGAAGTTACCATTGAACATATGCCTAAGTGTTATTGCCACAACTGCAGCATGAATATTGCCACAGAGTGTACTTGTTTAGCTCTTGTCTGGTGTATCTTAGAAATGTTGCCAGATAATCCATTACCTCCGTTCATATACGTCTTCTCTTTTCCTTTACTCCGTTATTCAGAGAAATTTCTTTCACTCCCTATGTTTTGCCTCTATTAGCCAGTGTCTACAGAGTATAATAAAATTTAGTAATGGGCTGCCCCCTAAGCGTTCAAATCACAAGCCAAAGAGCCCCTGATTTTGATCTAATTCCAGTCAGTCGAGTCATTGAACTCTTTTTCTGCTGTGTCATTGTACACGGAGCACTTCTACAAACTCCATGTTGTCTCTAATAACCTAGAGAGAATAACATTGCGCTTTCTACGCCTTTACCTGGGTCCTCTCCAATAATCGTCTCCAGCTGTCTGATGGTTGCCACAGCCCTCTGAGATGCCAAACTGTACATCAAGGGATTTTGGGATACCAGAAAGCAACGGGGGATCAGTTCAAGATTGCGATCCGTGGCGGGCCGGTCTACACTTTCAGATGCTGAAGGCATGGAGGAAGAAGGGGAGGAGTCTGGGATGTCAGTCAGGAACATGCAACCTGGTGAGTGACTGAATGCCAAAGAAGGCTCTGGAAAGAGACAGAATATGAAGAATGAATGGATGAAAGACTGTGAAGTCATTGAGAAGATAATAGAGTGAATACAGAATCATGTTGCTCACTGCTGCTGAGTATTGCCTCTATAGCAGTCACTCCACAGGCCCAGAACACTGTGACATCGCCGGGCTGCACCTCTACTCTGTCCCCATAGTCTGGTCTGGACAGGTCCTGTATGCCTAAGAGAGCTACACACACACACACACACACACACACACACAGAGTTAATGGTAAATCATGTACTGGTAGGTTAAGGTTATTATCCTGTGTAAAGTGTGTGTTTGTGTGTGTGTGTGTGTACCTGGGTCTCCTATGTGTACAGGAGCTCCATGTGCTAGAGGATTGAGGTGAGTAACCTCCACTGCTGCATCCAACATGGCAGCTGGAACAGGACGCATAGTGACCACCAGAGGGCAGCTGAACACTCCTGCAGGAGTACAGGGAACTGCAGTCTGGACACACACATACAGTATGGTTTACTCTGAACTTTAAATCATATCATTTAAATCAACAGACTATTCTATATTATATACTTTTCTTTAGGAAAGGTTGTCTGGTGTACAATCATTTTTTGTTTATTTTATGCCAACTGGCTACAAATTTTCACCTCAGGCTTTGGGAACCTGTGATTATAAAACTTATAGACATAATCATTTGTAAGTACATTTGACAAAAAAAGATGCACAAATCTTATAGTGGTGTGTGACTATAGTTCATCTCTACAGTCTAATGTACTGTAATCATACAAAGGTGTTACAATTGATCTGCTCCACATACAGGACCTCTGTAGATATTCCTAACATACCGTGTACATGCTGACATTTGTGCCTTGCTCCACATTCCTGACAGGGACTCCAGCGTTCTTCAGTCTACCCTCAAAGCCAAAACTGCAGCCCAGATAGAAACACACCATGTCTGACCAGCGGCCATGATGCACAGCCTGCAGCTCTGATGCAATCCTGGGAGCACGATAAAAAGGAGTGAGGCTGGTGTGGATCACAAAATTATTCTTCGATTGCTTTGGGACGTTATTATTGCAATAAAGAATAACAATAAATAAAGAGTTTAGAAAAAAATAAAGTCTGCCAGCTGACCAAATGGTATTGCAGAGTCTGTCCATTATGAAGGAGTGATTTGTTATTAAGAAATACATGCTTAACTATGGAGGTTTTGTAGATGCAGTATGCAAGTATAAATGAGGCTTGAAATCTTAAACTATTAAACATGATTAACTATCTCAATCTGATTTCAGCTAGACTCAATTTATTTTTCTCATTCACCACAGGCCTACTGACATGGCCAGATTAACCCAGGGAAAAGACAGGGGACTGGGCCTTCTTAAAGCCCCTGTTTGTGCCGTGTGTGGAGTTTTTTGTGCTGGAACACCACATAGGTTTGCTGTGTTGTGACTTAATAGACACATAAATTGAGCAATAGACTTTATTTAACTGTAAACCCAATACTCAAAATGTTTTAAATTTCTAAGCTAGCAACACTACAATAGCTGAGTTTCTGTACCAGAATCAAAACAATACTTTTTAGACACCTTGCTTTGAGACATATAAAACACATTTTGGCCTCTTCCAAGAAAATAAAAAGGTCTGATATGTAGCCATTAGCCCTACATATTGTACATACATAGTGCATGGTATGAGATCCCTTTGATGCTCTGTTGGGTAGTTTGTTATGTAATTATTAACTGAATCAATGTCAGTGTTTAATTACAAGCGCAGTCATACAAGTGATACTATTTTGTTGCTGTCAGGGTTATCTGAGTTTACCCAGGTAGAATTATTAATATACTGTATATCTTTTTCCATTGAGTTATCCTGAAACTAAAACTCTTCACATCATAGTTTCCTCTGCATGTTTGACCTCAACCGAACTGCTTCTAGTGTGGTGCTCTGTTAAAATACCTTGGCTGAGTGCTGTAACTCTGCAGACTGGAGACTGTTTTCACCAGCCGACCCTCTTCATACACACAGTACTGTGAGATGTCGGTCCTGAAGACACAGAAACACAGAAACACTCATCAATGGGTCATGTTGCAAGATTAAAGGGAAGATGTGAAGTGGAAGGATTAAATGCACAAACAAAATTAGTTTTGTTTATAATTTTCATGTTTAATGTAGTTGGATGTATGTAGAATATAAAAGAATTCTCTATTCAAGTACCTTCATTAAATAACAGATGAGAAACGAGAATATTATTTGCAGTAGGATGTATCACTGCTTTAGGTTGGTCAGGCAAATTCATTTGGTGGCAGGTAAAGACAGAGTTAAGGAGCTGACACACAAGGATTGGGCTGCACAATATCAATCAAAATATTATTAAAATTGCAATAGGTTAAATTGCAAAAGCTGTAAAAAAATTAAATATGACTTCACTTCGCCTCAGAGCATCACCAGCTTCTCATTTAGAGCAATCTGTGCTTGTGTGAGGTTAGACAGGTAGGTCAACATCAACAGTTCATTGATGTTGGAATTGAGCATGTTTTTAAAGTCCTCGGCGGAGATGGTGGGCACACTTTGCCAGACAGCAAATGGTAGGGGCCACCTTTATAATCATAATTTTAATATTTTTTTTGTAAAAATGATATTAATCATGAATCATTTTGCAATATCTGGTCAAAATAATCACAATATTATGTTTATTTCACATTGTGCGGCCCTACAGGAGGATAAAATGGAATAGTTTTCAAAAGTGCGTCAAAGTTTCCAAATGTCCAACATCATCTTGCTTGAGGAAGTAAAAATGTACTTTGGGCAAGTAGATTTCTTACCCAGAAAAAAAACAATGTTGAACCCTGGATTGTAAAGCACCAGTAAGCATCAGTAAAAACAGTTGATATACCTCTGATAATACCTCTGTACTGTTACTACATTGAGCAGTATGCTGAGTACTGTGTGCAAACTATTAGGTCAATGTCTTACATTTGATTGGTTTGTCTCTATCCCATTAATGTTTAGAGTACAGGTGCTGTTGATATCATGTTTAAAACAGTTCAGCTCTAACATTGGCAGGCAGAAGACGAAAGCTATACAGTAACAGAGTGATAAACATTGGTTTATACAGAGGTCAATTATTTATCACAAGGAACAAACAGAACTAGATCACCTTCAGGCTCCTTGAACTTACTGAAGAGACTTTGACATTTTGGATTCTGGTCAGCGATTTTTCTTCACTAGACCTCTGACAAAGTGGGAAGCACAGAGTTTCTGACTGTTTTGTTAAACACTGCAGGACTAATGTTTAAACTTACTGTCACACTGGAGCAAGAGGAAGAACAAATATAAATACACACTGTCAAAGATAATGGAAGTCTGTGGCTCAGTGTGTGGTGTATGTGTGTGTGCTCTACCTTATATCAGCATTTTTGGCAAGAGGCTGACAGGAAGTCTCTCCTGATTGGCTGCGATAAAGGAGTGGCAAGGGGGCGGGATTTTTGCGACAGAACGCTTCGAAGTCACTGGCCAGATGATTGGGCAGGATGACAACGTTAGCCTGCTGGTAACCTGACACACAGATACACACATTTTATTATGCATGTTATAATAGAAACATTTACCATTTGCTCCAGTACAAGAGTCCAGCTTTAAGTCTCCATATGCAGTTATCAGAACATGAAGGTGCCTGTTCAGCTATTCGCAGATGACAGCCTTCTTTTTTACAAACTATATACAACAAATATTTGAACAGGTTGAGAAGGGCTCCTTCGTGCATCTCCCAACAGCTTCAGGACAACAAACTTCCAAAGGAAACAAAGAAGCCTGCAGCACAGTTTGGTCTGATTGATCACTATATCCTGAAAATAGTACATGAGTCAGATAATCTGTGGAATAATCAGGTTCAGGCTCCTCCTGGTGCTCCTAATGGTGTTTGCAAGAATCCACCGGGCCCGAAGGAAAACAACCAATCAGAGCCAAGAACAATAGTTGAGTGTTGAGGCTCATTCCCAGGTCCTCAAATACTGATGCTTTTGGACCCAAAGATCTGCAATTGAGATGTAACTCAAACAAACAAAAGGTTCCAAAATGTGTGGGGACATTTACTGAAACACTTTGAGAATCTTCAGTCAAACTTAAGACTTATTCCCTCACTCTCTTTTTGCAAACCCACTTATCTAAATTATTTACTTGTTCATCAATCTTTTCTTTCTAAATACAAACCTGGCTTCCAGCACAACTTCCTGTACTACTCCAGGGAATATATATGGAATTTTAGCAAGAAGATGGAGCTGGTGGGGGCAGGCGACAATGTGCTCCTTTATCTTAGATGAAAAAAAATTTATTTAAAAAAGGTTTATCTATATAACTATATCTATAGTTTTTAATTTATTTAATTAATTTATTTTCAAATTCAATAAAAAATATTCTTCACAAAAAAAAGATAGGATCTTTCCATTAACTGTGCAGCTATTGTCAATACATACGGCATCACTTATATGCAGTAAAAGCCACCAATGTCATATCTTTATAAATATGAGTAAAAATAGTCAGTTATTCTGTCTTTTCTCTAACTGACTGGTTAAAGTTGGTTAAATTGTTTAATCTGTGATTTGTGATTATGCTTGGTACAAACATACGTAGACAAACACAGTCCTGTAGTTTATAGATGTTTCTAGAAAATAATCACAGTCTTAGTACAAAATATTTAGAAAATAAATAATAATCTTTTTTTTTTTTTTTTTTAAAGAATGAAGGTTCCACAAGTACACCATAAATGACTCCAGTGTGACATGCAGCCCTATAGGTGATCGACTGCTTCTTACCGTTAGCTAATCCAGTCGTGGTTTTTATTCTGGGATCTTCCTGCCTGATCAGCATCCTCAACTCAGCAGGACTGAGAGAATTTAAATTATTTGACCGCTCCATCACATAACATACACTACCCCAACAACTACTAATACTACAACTTTCTCATTCTGTGGACAAACTGGTTTCTGCTCTCAGGTTCTTGCTTCTGGATCAGTGCAACCCGCAGTGGCAGGCCTGCTGGCTTTTACAGTCCAGCTACAGCATCAGGTGACTGCAGTGGTGGAGGAGGACTTGATATCATTTGGCCAAACTCTGCCTAACAAAGACTCTGGTCTCCTCTTATCTGTTAAACTAGGGTTAATGTTCAAGTAAAGAAGGCTTGGATGTAGTTAATCTTAAAACGGAAAGGTTCAAGGTGGAAGAGGAGGCAGAGAGGGATAAAGGGAGAACTGTTAACAGAGGGGAATATGAAAGAGGGTTAAAAGAGAGACAAAAAAAATATATAAAAGAGAATGAGAGGGTGAGGTTGAAACTTTGGGTCTAGCGTTTGATGACGTAAAAGTGCAAAAAACCTTCATTTGTGAATTTCTAATTAGGCAACTGTTAAACCCTCTTCTGTGTCTCTCTGTCCCAAACACAGTACACACAGAGGGAAATACTAAACTGGATTTATCATTCATACATTGGTCTATTTGGTGTATGTGACACATAAACTGCTCTCACTCAGTTTCCCACAGAACTTGGTGAAGACATGGGACACAATTTAAAATTGTACTATACATTTATATATGTTAATATCAGTTAGTTACTGGGAAAACCTGTTGAAATTTAAAAGTGACATTTTTCCTGAGTAGATTTTACACATGTAATTTTTCTTTCAACATACCAAACCCTTAAAAACTCATCTCTGAAGTGCTTGCATTACTATCCCTAACAGGCGATTCCATACAAAAGGAAATAGTATATGTATGTATGTGTGTGTTTTACCTGAGTCCATGGCAGACTTACAGATACTCCTGAAGTATCTGAGGGAACGCCTGGCAGCTCTGACAGCAGTCCACATGCTTCAGCTAAAAAAAGACAAGAGTTTCCAAATGTGAAAATATTATTTTACTATAAATATTTTACATTATTTCCAGCCAATTCTATATTTACGGAATTTAAAGCTTCCTGTTCAGCCTAGTGAACCACCAATTTTTAATGTTTTTGGACTCCGACTCCACAGGCAAAGGAAAGGCAGACAGTGAGGAAATAGTTGCCTACTTTGTGTTTCTGCCAGGATTTGGGGATTTAAATTAAAGACTAGTAACTATTTATTGTTAGACCGACAAATCAGCCAGGCTGATATATCCGTCTGTATCAGTGTATCTGTCCCACAATAAGTAACAAAAAAATTGCAGCACAGAAATGCCAAATTAGGTTTGAGGTAGCTACATAGTTTGTCCAATAAAAAAACAACTACATTTGTGAGAATAAGAAAAACAAAAGACAAAACCAGATCAAATCTAAGGGATCTATATCAATAATGTTCTTTTTTCGTGTGTTTGTTGTTGTAAAAAAAAAAAAAAAGCTACGAGCTAGTTCAGGCAGTCAACTCAAGCTGTACTGCTACACAGATGACATGTCTCACTCTCCGTAATCACGAAACAAACACACCCTTCCAATCTGGTGGTCTATTTAAGATGTAAAATTTCCCAGCTCTCCCTCTGCTCAGTCAGTGCTGCTGCCCTGCATCAGTGTCACTGCATGCTGTTCTGTAATCCACCTGTAGGCTCCAGCAGGGGGTTGAAGGTATTTGCTCATGTCTCTGTGTAAACATATCTGCAGGGAGTGATGAGAGCGTCTAGGTCAGAGCCTCGACGCCAGAATCTAACTATGTTGTACTGCTGCAATAAACATTTCCAAAGTGAGTGGTCTGACTGAACTGTAAAATAAAAGTGATATATTTTATTGTATTGTCAAACTCCCAAATATCAATATCGGTATCTGCCTTAAAAATAGTATTGCTTTATATTTTTCACATAATCTCACATTGGTACAGAATGTACATGCATGTTAACAGTCAGCTGTAGTGTTTGTGGTGTGTTCAAATGCAACTGACAGATAGGTTGGCCAATTAAAGATATTTGATTCATTCATAGAATCTAAAACAACATCTTACTGGCTAATATAAGATTGTAGTGCATGGAATAATTAAATTATACATGATTTTTCTTTGTATTGATATCCGCATTATATATCGACTACTAGTGCAATTTCACAATGAGCTCCCTGCGCGTTGGTCACTCACAAGCTGAATGCAAACGAAGAATTTGAAGGATACAGACACAAATAGACGTCAACAAGGGCAGCTTCTCAAGTCTGATAATGACTGACCCCTGACACATGCACTCTGGGGCGGCTGTGGCTCAGAGGCAGAGCGGTTTGTCTAATCGGAAGGTTGTTGGTTCGATCCCCGGCTCCTCCCGCCACATGTCAAAGTATCCTTGAGCAAGATACTGAGCTGACCGCCGGAATTGCTCCCGATGCAATGTCGGTAGTGTTGAATGTGTATGAATGAGTCTAAGTTTCTGCTTTGAGTGCCTTTGGCCATCCACTGAGTGAAACTGTGTGTGAAAAGGGTGAATGTGGCACGTAAGGTGTAAAAAAAGCGCTTTGGTGGTCGGAAGGACTAGAAAGTACAGGTCACATTTACCCATTTCACTCCTTGAGGTAAAAAATCTATAATAACTTTTCCATTCCCATTTATTGTGTTCAGTTCAAATGTGTGTAGTTTGTTCATTTTATTGAGTTCAGTTGAGCACACTCACAGTCACACTGGCCTATCGTTAAGGGTCATATCTTTAACAGAAAACCTCCAACTTTTGCAATGACAAAGATTGCAAAATTATTTTTTTTGCAACATTTGCTCGATGAAATTGAAGAGAGAAAGTGGACTTCAACTCCATGGGCTTTTCTCCATAGATATTCAGAAGTAAGTAAAAAGAAAGTCATCAGTGGTGGTTTTTATTCAAAAATAATATTGAATTTGCTGTCAACAAGTAAACAATCAGTGACATTCACTCCCAAAGGGAACCAAGGACTTTCATTATATATATTTATAAATATTTAATTGACATTTTCATTTTTCTATTCATTTATACATATATATCCCAGTCATTATTATACCAGTTGTGGTGCTTTGGAATTCATACAATTGATTAAAAACAAATATTGCAAAATTGATGGCTCAACTGTTTTATGTATTCGCTTTATTTGGACATTTTTAAAGGCCTAGGGGACAGAAAAATGGAGTTTTCATAGAATGACCTATAAGTATACGTTCATGTTTACACAGCTCAGCCCACATCATGATTTGTTTCCTGTTGCTTCTGTGGTCATTCGAGTAACACATTTTCACTAGAAAGGACATGCTTTACCATCCAAGGTGAGCTGAACATGGTGCTACTTCAGTAGAATAGTATTGATTTCAGTAATATTTAAAGCTGCAGGTTGGTAACTTTATTAAAAATAACTTTTTGGTCTGGACAAGGTGGACATTGAGACCTAGATAATCTATGGTTTAAATTGTTGTTTTCCATATCAGGCCCGCTGCATCTTCAAATGCCATTACAGGAGCAGAGCGCAGAGATGTCCCCACACATTAATCCTGATCTCATGGTTCTACTAAGTTTCAGAATATAGACTAAAAAGTTATTTTTAATAAAATAACCTTCTGCAGCTTTAACTCTCAATTTGGTTGCCACATGCGCTCAACCACTGCCAATGGCACTCACTCTGTATGTTTCAAAACATATTCAACCGATCCTGGAGAGGTAAATTCTAACTGTGTCACATATAGTTATAATTAATAA